TAAACGTATAATCAACTAGAGTTGTAACAGTTACAGCTGTAACGGGTCGAGTCCTATTAGACTGCGCACGCAACTACAACGCGCCCACCGCGCCAAAAAGGCTGGCACAAGATATCAGAGCTGCTGATATCGTTGCGTAGTTGATACATAAGATAGCCACCGCTATCTGTACTGTAGCGGGCTACCTAGCCCGTTACAACAGCGCTTATTGTTCTAGTTCTTATTTTGACTAAATAATTGAAGTAACAATTATTTTTAAGGTATGAGAAAGATGTAGCTAAAGGATACTAATACGAATAATAATAACAAAGTATAGTAGTATTAGACTAGTATTTTAGTAATAAATAAGTTAGATCAAAATTAAAAGTTGAATAAGGAATAACGTCAAAGTGTAGCGAGTGGCCGAGAATAGCGAGTGACCGAAAATGCCAAGCCCCCATCAACCTCACCACCGTTGCGCAACCATTACAGCGCAACAACAACAGTAAATTGAAATTAGAAAAGGCTAATCTATTTAGAATTAACCTCTTCATTGTAACGGGCTGAACGCCCTTCGCCTCCCATACTCGTCTACGACCTCGTTTACTCCACCTGCCCGGCCCGATTGTTACCCTAGCAACCAGCATTGTATATAGATAGCTACGTAGCCGAGAGCTTAGCTCTCTATCGAATACAATCTTGTTACCTTGGCCTGTCCGATCGTGCTCCCGAGCTTAAGACTACCCTCCGGGGTCGAGCCCCTTACATTCATCTTGCTTGCAGGTGCGCGAGTTGTGTCTAGTCTCACCGCAGCGTCTACAGCGCCTTTGCGACGGTTCGCCTACTTCAGCGCTCTCTCCCTTCTTTGCCTTCTTCCCACTACCACGCGCCCTAGACTCCTTTAGAGTTGCTAGTTTCTCTTCTTCTTTAATTATTAGGGTCTCTCCTTTCTGTAGCCGCTTTCTTTTATGTGATCTTCTTCGCGTGGCGGCTTCATTCGCTGCTTTAAGCTTAGAGACCCGTTTCTTAACTAACACTAACTTATGCGCAATAGTAGTCGCACCTTTAACTAGGTTTTTAACAGCACCTAGCATACTTGTTAGTGAACTATCTAGGTGCATTTGAATCCTCTGCTTTACTAGCGTCGATTGCAGCCCTATTTCTAGGGTGTTGCTTGGGGTTTGCAACTGCTAGTGTAGATTTTTAGCAGCAGGTAGTGAAGGGGTGCGCAGCTTAACATCTAGCTTTGATGTCACCACCTCTAGGTCGTGTGGAACCAATCTAGCGCCTCGAAACCCTCCTAGGATATTATCCTTTGTAACTGTCTAAAAATAGGCTTGCTAGAAGGCTAGCAAGAACTCTATCTTGGTTATATAGTTGATCCCATTGCGCATCAGCTCCTTAGCTTGGCGCCTATATGCCCTCTTCAAAGGCGAAAAACACCCCACATCAAGAGGCTGCAGTAGATGGGAAGAGTGCGGAGGCATACATAGAGTAACAATCTTTGCTTCTGTGCAGTATTGCTAGAAGTTAACTGAGTTGTGGCTCTCATGACTGTCTAGAATGAGTAGGCAATAGGCTCCAACAGTACGCTCTTTTGTATGCCTGTTATAGTGCTCTAGCCACTTCATACCAAGCTCGTTTGTTGTCTAGCCATTCTTAGAGACTGCGAGAACCCAATCCCTAGGCAGGCTGTCTTCCTTGTACCAGGCAGAGAGGTGGTGCTTGCCCTGAAAGATGATAAAGGGTAGGATCGCCTAGCTAGCTGCGCTAACACAAACCACGCTAGTAACCTACTCTTTATTGCCCTGCTGCAGAGATTTTAGCTTTAATTAACGATTAGAGGCTGTAACTACTGCTAACGAGTTGTGCATGCCTATCATAAAGCCCGTCTCGTCAAAATTGTACATATCGTCGTCCTGGATCCCATACTTAGCTTTAGTATTCTGTACAAGGCGGAACTAGCCCTACACAAGCTTAGGATCTTCACAGAGGGCTCTCTTATAGTCGTACTTTCAATTAAACTTCATCTTAAGCTCTAGGCGACGCTTTATGAATGCTTTAGGCCAGTTAGGGCTAACAGGGTCGCGGTGGCGGGCAGCTAGCAAAGAATTAGCTAGATCTTTAACAGCAGAAAGGCGCAGCGGAAATCCTCTTGCATTAAGATTAATAATATTCTTAATAATCACCTCCTCTTCTATTATAAGTAGTTTTATTGAGTTAGGCGAACAATCTTGTTGAGAAGGCTTTCTTGCGAGTCTTTGTCTTAGGGTACGTTTAGGCACGTTGTAGAGAGCTGTAGCGCGTAGAATGTTAATTGTCGCGTCGCATTTAATAGCCTGAATTGCAAGCTGTACTTAAGACTCTTTTAAAGACTTTTTTGAATGAATTTGTTGAGACATCGCGAGTAGTAGTGAAAGTTGATGGGGGCTTGGCATTTTCGGTCACTCGCTATTCTCGGCCACTCGCTATACTTTGACGTTATAGGAAACTGGAAAGGTTATATAGTATAGCTTTCCTTTAACCTATCTAGCTTACTAGATGAACAGCTATGTATTATCTCTTATATAATTACGTTAATTGCATAATCTTACTTATTGGTAACTGAACCTAGCAGACAAAACCAAGTTAGAGTAATTGAGTTATATGAAACTAAATGACTAGATAAGAAATATAATACAAATCCCTTAGGATGAAACTTCAAAATGAAAGCTGATTTAACTTGACATAGGTATTAAAATATTAATCAGAATACTGAACGTAAAAAGAACGTGTATCATACTATTAATTAAGCATCTAGTAGTATATTATCAAGAGACTATCATAGTATTTAACTATATAGATACTGTAGATTCGTAATCAAGTCATTGTTTACTAGATATCTTCCTTTTAGCATATCTATGTAATTTAATAGATTCGACTCCTATAGATAGCAAAGGCGATATAATTACTTTCCCTTTCATATGATTTATCGCCTATTAATCTCCACTCTCATAGTATTTTAAAATATATATAAGATTGAATTGATATGCATAAATAAGTGACTACTTTAATATAGAATGTATGTTATAGATCCAGCTATTAACGCTATATTAACTACAGGATTTGATAAGTATACAGTTCTTAGATTTTAGGCTTAAAAGCTTTAAGGACTTGAGTTTAAATTTTTCAAGTGGTAGTAAGTTATAATAGTAGTGAAGTAGTAGTAGTAGGTTTTGTATATAAGCTTTCTTCTTGATATATCCTTTTTACTACACATACTACTGGCTTAAAAGCCTTATTATATAAGTAAGACTTACAAACTATAACTATAAGTCTACCATTATATACATAGAATAATCTTATTAGAGAATGTGGTTGGATTGCTATATATTTATATATAAGATTATAAGGCGTATTATTGAATGAGATTATAGCTTAAATAAACTTAGTAGCTATTCATTCTCATATTAGTTACAATAGAGTTTCATTACTTATTTTTATAACATAAATATCCTGAGAAATGCTAATAGGAAATCTCTAAATTAATTCCTAAAAGGCCACGGATAATTTAGTTCGATAAACTAATCAAGAGTATATTTTGGGACTGATAGCTATTCTTCGAAAGTTGAACAATCTCATATACTATTCATTTAGGCTTTATCAACTTTTAACTATATATATATTTCAACTCTTCAAGCTCATAATAATGTTTTATTATCCGATAAATGTAGGCCTGATTGAAAAGGACTTTCTCCTACTAGTGTTCTTTGATTGTACTATATTTGTGACAATTAAGATTAACAAAATAGACCAGATCGTAGTAAATATTGTAATATGTCTTAAACTATCATTTATAATCAGTCAAAGACATAAAGTATAATTTTTAGTATTTTACGAATTACATTTTAGCGATTTCATTCAAGTTTATAGATGTGAGAAAGGAGTATTCTATTTTAAGTTTTTCAATGTATTAGCGCAAAGTGATATAATTACTTTAGTATAACTTATATTTCAGAACTATGTAATAAGTAAAAAACACTGTTTTGTTACATAACGTAGTATTTTGGTGTACTTCTCTAACCTACTCATTTAATACATATCTAAGTACTTACTGATATTCAAGTGGTTGTAGCTTCATTGTTATTACTATCCACTTATAAAGACTATCAAATCAAACAAATAAAATTTGGCATAGTTGATAAATGCTATACTAACTTCATAAGTGAAAGTCTATAAAAACAGTTTCTATTATACTTAGAACTAATGTTATTTTATTAAAGTAAATCTGAGTAAAAATTATGTTAAAGTAAAAATATAATTCTAAGGCAGAGGTATATAAGACTCACCTCTTAACTCTACCTAGCTTAATTTTGTTTCCTGAATTATCTCTTTAGTATGGAATCATGATTGAAACTAATATGAATTGCAACAAATGAGGATACATGATTCAAAGAATTTATTAGGAGAATTTATCTTTTGTCAGTGAAAGAATAAAGGTTTCTTACTTGACTCTCTTGCTACTTTGGGCATATATATACTATCTCACTTATAACAAGAATAAACCTCTATACTACATGAATTGTAAAGTTGCAATATTTCCAACATATTCAACAACCTAGTTAATTTTTCAACCTAAATCCAAAAACAAGCTTGTAGTTAAATATTATCCTACTTATACTTTTTCTCGGTATGAAGATTATATGCAATTAGGTTTTCAGTTTCAAACGCTTTATTTGTATTTGAGTGGATAATATTAGTAAAAACTTCCCTTATCATCAAGCCCTAATAAGTTCACCTATTATAATTTGACTATTCTTAGTCTATATCGTACTACTCTTTCGATTTTGTAATAATTACTTGCATATAACTATAGAGTGTATAGTGATGAAAAGATAGATTTACCTACAAGATTTTGAAGCTAAACTGTGTCTAAAGGAATGATAATATTGATTACAAGGTTTCTAGCGTAACAGGAATTTCTCTTCCTAGGCCGTCTTGAAGAGCGTTGTTTTGCGCTCAGTAAGCTTCTGCTGGTAAACCTACTGGCGCCAATATGTACCAGAAGCGTGAAGATTACCATCAATGCAATGGCTGTGCCACCCCCAAGCAGAATCTGCAACCGCCTTCCAGATAGCAGTTATATCAACAACCATTTTCTTTGTCAACAGCATGCGACATTCCGCAGGTTCATATTTAAATTGCAGAGCGGTATTAGACCAATCACCATCGCGTACAGCGTCTAAGAAATTGATGTTTGAGATAGTCCCAGGGGCTGAACGTTCATAGGCCAGAGGTTCCATGAGTGTAGCTAGTTTGGTCTTCATGAGTCGTGCTGATTCCTCAGGCGTGTTGAAATCTTGGATTGCAAGCTGCATCATGACGTTAATCTCTGTCCAACGAACAAGTCGCGGTCCTCTGTTACTACCAAGAGGTTGCATGGGGCCGTACCGCGGACGGCCTCCAATCGCCACAGTTTTGACTTTCTGGATAACGCGCATAAGGTCTACGAAAACCGAGCAGGCTGAAGAACATTTTCCGTCTGTGAGTATGATGATATCTTGAGCTTTGAATGGCTGCTGGGTGTAGGACGCATATTTCCCATAGCCATACATGCCCACAGAGAACAGTTCCGAAGTCAAGTTGTATCTGAAGAGACTAGAAAACCAGTCGCCGTTGTGGAAATACGGGCCGAAGAAATCGGTCCATCTCTTGAAGCTTTGAGACTGTGTGTTGACAACGTATTTGGAGTCGTATTCCATTGTTGTCCAGTAATCCGTGTATGTTGAGGTGTTTTCGTAGAGGGTGTCCGGCAACTTAGGCGGATATTTTTCGGCAACCTTCGAAAATACCTTGGATATAAGCCTAGTGGCATCTGTTGCGCGAAAGCGCATCGCTGCCGAATGATCACGTCCTCGGGGAAATAGGATTTTGAATAGGTTATAAGCAAGTTCGATAAGGCCACCAGGATTACTTTGAAGGTCGATAATGAGCTTCTTCTTTCCCGCTGCCTTGGCTCCAACAACGAACTTCGCTATATAATCCTGGGTTATAAGGGTAGGATCCGAGGTTGGCTCAAAGCTAGGAATCGACAGTACAGCAACATCTGAATAATGGTTTTCCAGGTAGAAACCACCGAGATTGTTTGTTGAATCAAGAAATATGGGTTGTGGGTACCCTGGCGCCTGCTGAGGTGAGGTTGTCGATGTCGAGTTTGACGGTGTCTGTGAAGCAGACTGATTATTGTCAACAAAGATTTTCGGGGTGGTGTAGTATGTTTGATAAAGGGATTCTCCATCGGAAATGCCGTCAAAGGGAACCAAAACAACAGCGTAGTTGTCAAACGACTTCCTAGTACCATTTGCGAATCGGAAGGTGGTAGTCGGGCCAGGATAAATAGCGCCCATATCCCCACATCTTTTGAAAGTTCCTATATAATTTACGTCCGACAATCGACTAGATAGTGAAGTAAAAGCTCCATTGTAAGTCGTATGTGGATCACTGTCGTAATTCCACTTCGAATCGTTCTCCAGAAATGACTTCGCATCTTGCCCGTTAATGTGTGTGATTGGCGAAGCTTTGAATGAAGCATTACCAAGTAGCTCGGCTGTTATATCATCGAACGAGTAGACATTCGGGAGGTCGTGACCATTGGCAGAAACCGAGACGAGACTGGGAGTACCACGCATGAAAAGAAAAGCTGTGCCTATGGAATCAGGGAGATATTGAAGACCTGGATCATGAGCGAACTGGATAACCTGGAAGAGTTCCATGCCAAACTGACCAATTAGCTTCCAGATATTACATGCAGCTGTATAGTAGGAACAAACTTACCTGATGCTCATTCTTATAGGCTCCTGAGGTAACCTTCCTTACAACCTTCTCAAACTCTCCAAACAGATCGTAACCTGGTCGAACATTCATAGCCCAGGATCTCGGTGGGTTCTTGAGCATAGCGGTAGTACTTTGGAACTCAAGTATGGGCTTGATGTTATTGACTAGAGCGATAGCAGCACTTTGATTGAAAGGTACTGAAGTAAGGCAGTCTGGCGATGTTAGCCAAGCTACATATGGTACTGATGCTGCCTTTTTGAGATTTCTCACCATATGCCAGTTTCGCAGGAATCATAGGATCAAGACCTTGATTCGCTGGATCCGCATTATAGATGGCGCTGAGGTTGGCGACTTGAGCACAAGCATTTGAAGTCGAGTGTCGTAAGTATAATCGCGTATGATCTGGTGAGGCTGAGCGCACATCTGCAGAAAGTACGAGAGAGGCCACCAAGCTATATGCCACGATCTTAAAGAGAAAGTGTATCATCATGGTTTTGACTCAGTGTGACGGTAATGACAGACAGCGGTGAGCAGGAGAAAGTAGGATTGTAACAATCAGATGTGATGAGAAGTAAAGAGCGACTGTGATACTAAAAAGGAGATTGAGTGCCTCGGTGGCGATGACTGCATGAGTGGTTTGAGACCAGCTGAGTTTCTGTTACTTTTATAGAGTCTTGGTTATGCATGTAGCGTAATGTGGGTTTAGCATAAATGCTGCTCTGTAAAACTATAACTTTGCTTTTCTATCTCATGACAGTGTTTTGCCTCATCCTTATCATTATATCTTATGTACTAATAAACTCAGTTTTCGTGAATAAAATTGAAAGAACTAGGAGAACACCAATGACCCGGATTACGTGTGCGTATTAATGCATGGGGGTGTTACATTATATACCAACAAAGCTGAACAAAGTTAGCGACATGTCAGACGGTATGATGATCGGAGATTTGCAAGCTGTCACGGACTACCATGTTCTCCATCATAAACCTGCGTGAAATTTACACTCAGGTTGTAATTCAGCTGCACTAGAGGGATAATACACCTCGCATGGGTTCACAGAGGCTGTATTCTATAACAATCTATGCATTCTAATGTCGTGAAATTTATTTATCTATTGAGAAACAGTTACGAGAAAGTATCGTAGCGCGTTATCTAATCACCACTCCGCTAACGTCTTTAGTTCGTTTACTTGGAGCAGCATATAGATTCTATGAGCAACGTAAGTCTCTATTAAGGCACAATCTAATGACCCTCGGGCCTAATATGCTTATTCTATATATAGTTTCTCGTCACGTGTCCTGCCTCCTGTCAGAACTTACAGTGTAGAGTTTGCATACCCTATAATAACATGTCCAAACTCATAAACGCCCCTGGAACATATAAGATAGGAGAGGTTATCTCTGTAAGAAGGTGGTGGTGGAGGAAGAATTCTTTCTTATCATTAATAAATGGTAGGTTATGATGAAGCAGCACCAAGGATGTATATCTAGTAGAAAGAGATGATAGGTAGAGCGTAAATGTATTGTAGCTAGGTAACTATAACCAATGGACTGGAGGCTTCTATCAGAGAAAACCTAGACATATAACTGCTTTTTCATTATTGGTTCATTACTATGTATATGTATCATATTGCATAATAAGCCGATACGGTAAGTTTATATAGTAATAGTATGTGCTTAAGTTATTATTATAACTCTCTATAGTTGTCATATATAGTAGAATTAGAAAGTAGGAATATTTATTGTTCCATTAGAGTCTAGTGAGCTCGAGGCTATGTAAGACTTTGGCCGAGGCCGTTCTAACTAGATTTATTTACAAATACGAGTTTGTGCTTGAAGTGTGTCTGTGGTGCTTCGGCCTTTGTCTAGGTAAGCGATAGCTATCGCTTACTAGACGCCTAGTGCTAAAGAGCATTTTGATAACAGAAAGAGATGTTAGAAAGCAAAGCAATCCTCTAGCGGGCTCTTTTAGGGATAAAAAGAAAAAGTTTCGACTTAGGTAGTTTTAATAAGTAACTCTCTCGTTCATTTTTAATGAGTCTTCATCTCAAGTTTTAGTGAGTAACTCTCTCGTTTCGACTTAGTGCCCAGCGAGTAGCAGCTGTCTTGGCGTTTCGACTTGGTGCTTCTACAGAGGTAACCAGTCTCTGTATCAGCGTTTGGATTTGGTGCCACAGTAGGCGAAGACTGTCTCGGCGTTTCGACTTATTTTGCTATTACAGACCAGAAAACTGTTATAGCGTTTTTGAATTTTGTGCCACAGTAGGCAAAGACTGTCCTGGCGGTTGGATATGGTGCCACAGCGGGATCAGGC